GTCGGGGATAGTAGAAGTGTGAAGAGATTCATTTACAATGGAGGTAATTGCCCCAGCTAGGGAAGCAGTACCAAATTTGAAGAGAGCTAGATAGAAGTCATCTGGGCCTGCAGCAGAAGACGTCTTGCGAATTTTTAAAAGTTTTAACACATCACAATATGAGAGTGGTTCCACGTTACAAACATTTTGTGACGAGTAGGCAGGAAGAATGTCCGATGATTGGCGCAGGAATGCGGCTTTGAGATCATCAGCGTCCACATCTACGTTCGACCGTACTTTTTTCCTTCCACAGAGAAGTCTTATACCTTGCCACAGATGTTTGCTGTTTCCAGTCCTCAGAATTTGATCAGAGAATAATGCGTTCAATCTATTTATTTCAGCTTTGATAAGCCTGAACAAATACCTAACAACTGAAGCATTGTGAGATTTGTACGCACGTTCCTTTTGTCGTCGCAGTGACTTCAGTAGAGCAGAGTTTATCCTTCCGTTGGACACATAGAGACTTTGAACAGGGCAGCAGTAATTAAAAATGGCATTGATTGTTTGGGTGTATAGGGGGACACATGTGAGCAGAGAAGAAGATAATGAAAACCATCGGGAGGCCTGTCTGAGAGATTCATTCAGAAGAGAAACACGTGCAGGTGAGAAGTTACAAAAACGAAATCTGATGTGCTCAGATCGAGAGAAAGGTTTGTACGCAGCATGTGAATAAACTTTAGGTCGAACTAAGAGTAAGCAGTGGTCACTGGAAGAAATAGGAGCTTTTAGTGCTAAAGAAAAAAGGGTTAGGTGGTTGGTAATAACTCTGTCCAGTATAGAGTTACCTCTTGTGAGAGAATGGCAGAGGTCTGTCATACTCAATGATAAAAGTGGACAAGTGCTAGTATGGTTGAAGTCACCATCGATTATGTGCAGGTTAGTATCTAAAAGTGGGGCAATAAAAAGTATAAACCAGTCGAAAAATGACATACGATCAGGCTGTGTACAGGAGGGGGCTATACACAATTTGGTCAAAATTGTGTGAGTAAAACGGGAAAATCTAGGGCGACACTGTGTAGTTAGGCACTCAATACCTTTTGAGCAGTACTGATAAACAACATGGGACTTGCCGCACCAGGAAACATTGACATATGTGGCAACACCCCGTCCGGTCTTTTGTCCTCCAGTTCCACGACCCCACCAGTAAACTTGAAAACCATCTATTGACACTAGAGAGTCATCTACGTCCTTATTCAACCAGGATTCTTGAACACAGACTGCACACGTGTTCTTATGAATTCTTGATCGGAGGACACTAACTAAATCCGACATTTTGGGAAACAGGGACCGAATGTTGGTGCTGACCAATGAGAGGATAGTCATCTTTGACAGAGGGGTGTAACTAAGGGTAACTTGCCATCCTGCACGCTTGCGTTTTTTGGTCCAGCCTGGACAGTGAGAAGATGGAGTCGCACAAACCGCTAAACCATCGAAGCATGCCGTGGCACGTTTGAAACAAATAATATCATTCCGTGAGTAACGATGGCGCATGATAGTGAGTGAAAAGGTGAAAATTCCCACAATGTGACGGAGAGCGTGCAAGTGTAGCGCAACCAATCGAAGGGCACGCCAGTTGGGTTTTCCTTTTCGCATCAGGGCTGGGACGACTATTTGTCTGATGGTTTGTTTCTCATCCTCAGGTATCGTGGACGATTTGAGAGTTTGTTCCAGTTCAACCAAGTATTCCTTGTTTGTGGGATTTCTTACGTTGAAGTTGAGTCCTTTATTGAGGATTCGTTTTTCATCCTGTGCGATCACGCGAGTGGAGAGATTGAGGACCCAGTTTTCATTTTCATCGATTAGCACATGATCATCCAACTTGTGGAGCTTTCTTGAGAATACCAGTTTTCCTTTGACACTTTTCAGGCGTCGAATTATTGCATCTTCAAGCTGTTGTATCTGTCGTTCGTTCAATATAGTTTGACAGTTCTCCTGTTCTTCTTGTATCACCTCCTTGTACTTGATAAGACAACTGTGAGCATCCGAGGTCATCATGCACACCATGCGTCGTCCTCAAAATTGGTGTGAAGTCCTCCAGGCCTCCGGGTGATTAATCGGTGGTCTATGGTATACACTCCGTGGTAGTAGAGTGCGCCGCAGGCATTCGCGAAGAAAAATAGCTGCTCGTGAGTGAAGACTTCTCGGCAGGCAAACACCCCCCATCGGCGAGCAGCTTTTAGCATTTTACGCCCGAAAAATGTTGACAAAATATTGAAAATCGGTTCTCGTAGCTCGGGTGAACCGAATTCCATTTC